GACTCCATGGACTGCAGCAGGCCAGGCTGTCTGTCCTGTCTTTCACTGTCTCCATGCTCACTACTGGATGACAAATTACTACGTGCTTAGGCTGTGCAGGTGCTATGTCTGGACAGGCTACATACTTTACTTACACACACACTGCAGGCTTACTACTTATATTACTGCAGCCCGTGAGTTGGAAAGTACACCCACTTCACAGATGAAGATGCTGGATTTGAGAGAGAGGTTAAGTAACCTGCCCAATGCCACGCAGAAATGAAGAGACTGAGCTGGAATTTGATAAGGCCTGCCTGATGCCTTTGCTCTGAGGCCCACTGGACCCCAGGTGCCTGGGGGCCTGGTCAGCCCCTGAGGCTCCAGTCTCTGCTGCTAACCCTCAGCTCAGGCCCTTGCCCCGCATCCTCCAGGGGCTGACCAAGTAAGCATCCATTCTCCCAGCACAAGCTTCACCAAGAACCCACCACCTTCTAACTGTGTGCTGCTGGGGACAGAGCAGAAGTCAGCTAGACACCACCTCTCTGCTCTCCCAGCTAATAACTAAGCCCCCAAACAGAAAATCAACAGAAACCATGGAATATCCCATGGGAAGGGAAGGATTTGAGGCTGACACTGAGAATAACTGGAAGTTGGGGGTCTGGGGCGGCGGGGACAGGACGGCCTTGGGAGAAGAAGCTCTGAGGATCTCTCTGAGCTGGTCATGTTCCACCTGAGAGCAGGAAGGCTGAGAAGCCAGGCGCTCCAGGAGGCAAGAAAGAACATTCCAGGCTGAGGGAGCAGCAAAGCGAAAAGGGCCCCCAGGAATGAATGGCCTGAGGGCATGTGAGGAACAGTTGGGGCAAAGTGACCGGCAGGCCACCCGTAACAAACACACCTCCCTCCCAGCAGCTGATGTGAAGAGCTGACTCACTGGAAAAGACCTGATGCTGGGAAAGATCAAAGGCAAAAGGAGAAGGGGGCAGCAGGGGATGAGATGGTTAGATAGCATCACCGACTCAATGGATGTGAATTTGAGCAAACTCCCAGAGATAGAGGAGGAAGGAGGAGCCTGGTGAGCTACAGTTGATGAGGTCGCAAAGAGTAGGACATGACTCAGTGACTGGACAACAACTGCCCAGTGCCTCACACACAAGGCCCTGGGTGCTGGGAGGCAGGGCTTCCCTGGCCCAATCTCCCCAAGACGGTTTCTCCTCTGGGAGTCAGCCCTTTGTCCGGGGACTGGGGGAGTCTGGCGGGAGGGAAGGCGGACTCGGAGGAAGCGCCCGGCCTGGCATCTCCACGCATGATCTGCACGCCCCTCGGAGGGCACCGGCTACCAAGCATGTCGCTACAAGACGTCTCCCCACCCCAAGGCAGCAGAGTCAGGGCGGCTCTGACTCCCTCTGAAGCCCCGAGGGGAGGACGGGAGCGGACCTCGTAGCTTTCTCAACATCTCACTCAAGCATTCTCTGCTCCTGGAGCACCCGCTGTAGGCCAGACCCTGAGCTGGATCCTGGCGAGAAGGCGATGACTCAGTCACACACCCAGGGTGTTACAATACAGCTACCAGAGAAGGACCCAGGGAGGTGTGAGGAGAGGTGTGAGTCACTGAACTTGCTGGTCTGGGTGGAGGGAGGTGCACGGGGTCAGCAAGTGGAGAGAGAGGACCTGGCTTCAAAGGAAAGAGGGAGAAAGCCAGCCCAGTGACCGCACGCCGAGGTTGCTGGACACTGGCGGGGAGGACGGGGGAGCAAAGACCCATTGCATTAGGCTAGTTCTGCTGTCAGCAAGAGACTGCAAGTCGACATGCATTTGTGGGTCAGCCAAGCCAGGGAGCCTGGCTGAAGATGCTGGGATGTGGAGGGCTGTAGACTAACTGCCCCTCAAGACCAGCTGACCGTTGACCACAGGGCCCAGATACACTTGTTTTTCAAGAGAAGGCAGAAATCCACACTGGATAATTTCCAACTTTTAAATGGTGGCAACACATTCAAAAAATTTAAGAGTAGCATGTAGGCTCAAGAACATAGCTGTGGGTCACTGACTTCACAGGCTGGAGTAAATGAAGGTAAATAACTTCATCTCATGATTGTGTCTGAGATGCCCAAAGTGGCTCAGGCTGGACAGGAGAGGGTTTCTGGCAAGAGGGACCCACAATGCTGAAGGCAGGAGAAGAGGAGCAAGGAGCAGACTGGTGAAGAGAGAAGAGCCCCCAGCCAGCCCCTTCTGCTGGGCCCCTGCTTTATTCTCCGTGCAGCTGGTGAGAGTTTGCATGCTGGATCCAGCCTCCTTCTGACAGCAAAGGTTGGGAACAGAGGCACAGCTCAGGGAGGTTGTGCCCTGGGCTCTGGTCTAAGGGAACTGGGACAAGGTGCAGTGCCTGCCAGCCAGGCTCTGTGGGGAACCCAGTGGAAAAGTAACATGAGCTCCCGGGCCAAGGTTTCCCTGCTGCCAAACAGGAGAGACTGGCCCAGCCCAGTGCTGGCATCTCCAAGGCTCCCGGGAGTATCAGATCTCAGCCCAGGAATGCACCTGAAGGCACTGTGCTGGTGCAGGTCTCACTTTCAAGATATACAACCCATCTCTCCTGCCCAGACAGGGGCCCTTCACCCTCTGTGGTCAAGCGACCCAGCCCGAGCCCCCACCTTCCCCGACGATTTGCGATCCTCCTGCCGCCCAAGGAGAACTCCTGGTGCTGCTAAGCGCTGCTGGGGCAGCACTGGCTTTGGTGGCCCTTGGCCTGCTCCGTGCTGGGTCCGAAGCTTGGGAGGGTGGGCAAGAAAGTACAAGGGGGAGAAGTCACTTCAGTCACGGGGGCTGCTCGTGCCTAGGGCAGTCAGCTGAAATGACAGTCCATCCTCACATCGCCCGTGTCTGGAGGGTTCTGTCATTGTCCCCATGTTGCAGATGAATAAACTGCGTCTCGGAGGGGCTGAGGGACTGTCCCAAGGTGCGGGTACCATGCGACAGAGCCAGGGTTTGAGCCCACGGCCTCTGGCCGCAACCCCACATGGTACTGCCTCCATCAATGCCAAGACGAGACCCAGTGACAACAGACAAGGGACAGTTACAGCCTGAGAGGAGGGGAAAGAGAAGTGAGCAAAAACAAAAAGATTGTACCACCGTATTTTCCAGGGACAAAAACAGATATTCCCGGGGCGACCTTGAGAATTCAGGAGAGGCTAACCTGTGCTCCTGCGAGTCTGGATGGGAAGGTGGGGCACACGAGGCTTTGGGGACGCTTGCTGTCCCAGATGACAGTCACATGCGGGGACCCCAAGAGCTCAAGTGAGAGGAGGCGATCTTGCGTGCAGTAATGCCTCAGGGCTCAGGAGGCCTGCAGCCAGCCTTCCCTCAGTTCAGCAGCCTCTTGTGTGAGCTGAACATCAGACCCCACCCAGGTCCAGGCCGGCCCTTGTGACCCACATGTCGGCTGGCTGAGTGGGAGCTGCAGGTGGCGATCAGAACACAATCCACTGGCTGGAGTTTACGGATCCAATCAGCACACATCCGGGCTGAACGTAACCCGGGGTGATTGGATTTTCTCGCATCAGGAAAACCAGATCTGAGGACAGCAATTCCGAGTGTAGCGTGTCATTACTCTAAGTGCAGCCGCCCCGTTTTTAATTACAATTCCCTCCAGCAGGACTGGGCAGGGCCAAGATGCTGGGCAGAGCTCTTTCCTTAAGTTAGTCCCAGCTCTGCTTCAGCTGGCTGAAAGCGGAGCCAGCTGGGTGGGGAAGGAAACCAAGATGCCTTCCCCCACTCTTCAAGGAGTGCAGGGGAAGCCAGGAGGCAGAGGAAGAGGAGGACATGGAGGGAATGCTGTGAGACCCCCATTCAAGGGGTCTGCGGCCAAATGGGAGGAGGAAACAGGCCCTGCCTGCAGCTCCTGCTTCCTCTGAAAGGGGGATCGCCTGCCCTCATTCCCCTCCTCCCCCCAGTCCAGGTCCTCCTACTCACAGCTGGCTTCCCTGCCTTCACTCTGCATCCCCAGGCTGGCTTCGGAAACACCAATCTGATTCCATCACTCCCTGCTTACAGCCTGCAATGGCTCCCCAGTGCCCTCAGGCTGGAGAGGAAATCACTCCGCATCTAAACTGCCAGCAAGTCCTGTGGATTCTCCACCCTGTGCTACCAGAGGCCCAGCCTTCCACAACCTCCCCCGCCCCCACCCTCGCCCACTATTCCTGATGCTGCAGCCACAGGGGCTGCTTCCAAAGGCCAATCAGATTGAGTCGCTTCCTTGCTTAAAACCGGAGCATCCTGCCATGTGCATAATAAAGTCCAAACTCCTCACTAGGATCGCAAAGCCCCACATGAGCTTCATCACATCTCCGCATCCCCCATACCCCGTGCCCTTCAGCCTTCAGAGGTGGTCTCAGTAACCTGTTTTGGGTTAAAGGTCTCTACTCCGGAGAGGTCGGCTCTGGCCACTGCCTGCAGAAGAGCTGTGTCTCCCTGCCCCCCTCCCCTCCTCGCTGTCCTCCACACCTCGTTTTATGATGTATGGCACATGCTACTGTCTCTCTTTTTTTCTTGCCTGCTCACTAATTTATGACTTGATTCTTCTCTAAACTGTTGTGCTGGGAGGAGGTGGCTGCAGAATGGGTTTGCTCTCCATGACACCCTCAGCCCCTCACCCTGGGCCTGGCCTGCGGCCAGGGGTCAATCAATACTTCTGGAAAGAAAGACTACCTGCGTTTCTGATAGCTGGCAGAGTGCCTGTGGTGTGAGTTTGATGCAACTGAAAAAAGAAAAGGGGCAGCAGCCACTGCTTATGGAAGACTTACTAACCACTCAGCTGGGTGAGTGTGGGCCGGGCGCGGGGGGCCAGCCAGAGTCCCCCACCCCCACTGCCCGCACACAGCAGCAGCAAGGAGGAACTTGCCTGCCCAGGGATCAAACCCAGGCCTCCTGCACTGGACCACCAGGGAAGTCCCACTGCAGCCTCTCTGTACTGAGATTCTGAGTTAAGTTCTTTTCCTAAAGTGACATCACAATCAGAAGACCACAGTTTATCCCCTTGAGGTCCTGTGAGCCCCACTCAGGGGGGGATGGGGGCACCAGGCTGGAGCTCCCCCTCTGTCACGTGAAGAGGCCACTTGCTCCTCTGGCAACACTCGCTCAGGCTGGCACCCAGTGGGCCTGTGGAACCGCTTGGAACGTGCCAACCAAGGAAAGCTTCAGGTCAGCACTTTCCGGGATTTGCTGCTTTAATATTAAAATATTCATAAAGAGAAGTAATATCACTGTACACGGGCTTCCTATCTGCAAACGAGGATTCACATTTGCTCCTGATGCTCGGCCAGTGCAGCACAGGGCAAGGAAAGAGCGTTATGTAGAATCAGGGCTGCCAAACTGCCGGAGCCCCCAAGACAGGCTGTGGGGTCTGCACCGTCCCGAGAGCATCAAATTCCCAGCAGCCTGCCGCCGCTGCGCTTCACTCTGCACTGATGTGATAATACCATCCACAGTCCATACTCAACACATGGCCCGTACTCAAGGGTCCTCAAACACATGGTGCTTATTCAAGTGTCCCCAGTCCAAGACCCTGAGATAATGCGCTGCAATGAACTGCTGGGGTTCCTGACTCTTCTTTAATCTGGGAAGGTGCCCTTTGCCTTCTGTGGGTCTTTCATAACAAGCTGCCTGGCCCCCAACCCAGCATAGATGATGCTGTATGCTCACACTGTACCCCATCAGGAGGCCCCTAAAGGCAGTTTGTCCATTACTGATGATTTTCAATTAAATCTACACTTATTAACTCGTGTTCATCTTTTCCCCTCCATTTCCCGCTTTGCTTAATCTACTCTTATTCTTCTTTTGGATGTTTAAACTGTCCCATCTTTGCCAGCAGGAGCCTCTCGAAGCCAGTGCCTGGGTCTTTCCGACCATCTGTCTTTGGACGCATCCCTGCCTTTTAGAGCAGCAAGATGTTGTAGTCACACTCTGTTACTTTCCACTGCCTCACACCTGGATCCCTCCATGTGTCCAAGGGGCCCTGGCTCCTCCTCATGGAGGACAGCGCTGAGAAACAGCTGCAGGCACTTGGCGTATACACTGCTACTGGGGGTTCTGCCGCTTCCTGTCCCTTCCATGATTACAAATATATACGGCATCAGATATGCACACTGGGGACTTCACTCGTGGCCCAGTGGTTAAGAATCTGCCTGCCAATGCAGGGGACACAGGTTCAGTTCCTGGTCTGGGAAGATCCCACATGCCGTGGAGCAACTAAGCCTGTGTGTCACAACTACGGAGCCCACATGCCTACAGCCTGTGCGCTACAACAGGAGAAGCCACTGAAGTAAGAAGGCTGAACACTGCAACTAGGAGCCCCCAGCTCAAACAGAGGGAAGTCCCAGCGCAAACAGAGGGGAAAAAAAAGCATACTGACGTCCCAAATCCAATCCCATACATTCCTCTTTTTCATATTCCCTCCTTCTAGAGACAGAATCTGGTAGCTGACAGAATGTATTTACTCATTAGTTCCATTCCATAACAACAAAATAATTCAAGGATTATCACACCAAAAGCACTGTCAACAAATCTACTAGGGAAACGTCAAGATATGCTTCTTGTTTTTCCCTTATTTGAAGCCTCTGAATGTATTCTGCAGTGTGGACAATAACTTGTTTCATATTCGTGATGTTTTATTCTCAGGGTTAATCCCTCTGCTGAGTCAGAGGGTAAATGCAGATGAGACTTTGTGAGCTGTACCTGAATTTCCTTCTATGGGGGTCACACCATCCAGCGTTTCCACCAACCATGGGTAAGGTGTGCCAAGAGCGTGCTTGTGTGGTTTTTGGATTTTTGCCCATCTGAGACATGAGCAGTGATATCTCTGGGTTGCTGTAATTTGCATTTTCTTAATCTAACTACATCCTCTTTCAGCCCTGGGACCAAGCCCAGGGCCCACCCGGAATGTGCTAAGCTGGGTGTCCCAGGAAAGGTAAAAGTGGGGGGGCAGTGGGCGGGGTAAAAAGTTTCACCATGCTCACCCAGCCCGGTGTGAACAGTGCAGTCAAATGGTGCCCCAGGTAAAACTCTGGCACCTGGGGAGGGAGAAGGAGTTCTCTGGGTGTCTAGAGAAACCTCAGAAACATGCCCTGCTCATTTCCGGAGTAAAGAAAAGGCTCCCTGTTGCCTTGTATAGGCCCAAGGAACATTCTGGCCTTCTGCTCTGATGGTTATGGGCAAGCTGCAAGAATCCTGCCAGGGGGCCAGGTGCTCCCTCAACAGAGCTTGGAGTAGGAGCTGAGGGTGTCAGCTGGAGGGTGACCTGCGGGCTGTCATTATTGCTGGGACTTCTTCCTGAGCCTGCATCTGTGCTTCCTGTGCTAGGCTCCTGGGCCAGGGGAAGATGTCTTTAGGAATGGAGGTGGTGGGAAGATCCGGCACTTGCCTCCAGCCTCCCTGCCAGGTCATGGGGACCATCTCTGGACAGCCCCGTGTCAGGTGCACCTTCAAGGTTTCGGGGTGCTGAAAACAGCAGCCCTGGCTCAGAGGGGACAAGCTGAGAGGCCTCATCCTTCCCAAGCCCAAGCCTGCCTGCCTGCCTCCATCCAAACCCACATTTTTAAGAGCTCAGGGAAACTCTGGGTGTCAACAGACAGGTGTGGTCTTTATGGTACAATGGTGAGGAGGGTAGGATCTAGAGGCAGAATGAATGGGCTGGGGTGCTGATTCTGGCTGTGCCAACCATCTGAGTGTCCCATGCAAATTCCTTTCACCTAGAACCTCAGTGACCTCTTCTGTGAAGTTGGGGTGATAACAGAACCCCTTCTCACGGGCTGGCTGTGAGGACAAAATGGGACATGTATCAGAGAGCCTGGCATATAGCAGGCATTCAATAAATGCTAACTCCCTCCAGGGGACAGCCCCTTCTGGACTTCTGCTGGCTGCCCAGGATAAGTCCTTCCTAACAGGTGCTTCACTTCTCATTTCCTCCAAGTGAGAAAGGTACTCTGGATGGGTCACCATACCTGGGGCATCATGGTTTGAGCAAGCTCGGGGTGTGGTATAACACTCAGTTAAAAAAGCATTGCTGTACCTTTCCATCCTAAAATACTTAAGATGAAATCAAGATGAAACTGCTCTTTATGCCAAACACAGCCAGCCAAGATGGCCATGACTCCCACCCAGGACCACCATAGACAGTTGCACCACTGGTGCTCTCCCCCAAAGTGCCTGGTAGCTGAGCTGAGTGGGAGATAAAACCCAGCTGGTGTTCCGCTTGTCAAATTGTGCAGCTCAGCGCAGGGTCACAGCTACCTGGAGCAGAGGTACCTCTCTGCCCCCCTGCCAAACCCTGCAACAGGACTGCAACCCCTTAGGAATGTGGTCACACCAGGTGCTGCCTGCCAGTCACCAGGCGACAGGTCAGCAGGGCTGTGCTCAAGGTGGGGGACGGGGAGGCATCTTTTCCTAATCTGTCTACATGCCTTTTTCTCCCATCCAAGTACTAATCAGGCCTGACCCTGCTTAGCTCCCGAGATCAGATGAGATCGGGTACGTTCAGGGTGGTATGGCCGTAGACTACATGCCTTTTTCGAATTTGCACAAAGGCTATTAAATTAGGCTAGCAGGAATCACATTAATTTTAATTTAAAAAAATATGCATTTACAATCCAGGGACTGGTGACTGGCCTATACTTCTTGAGGTAAGATCTTTACGTACAAACTGCTCCATGGAGGAGGCTGCTCTGACCCCTCTGGGAACCTGAGCCCCCAGGAACACCCTGCTCCACTGGGAGACACCAGGTCCATGTGGGTAGGTAACAACGGTTGCCTGGAAACCCCACCTTCTCAAGGCCTCATGTGCTCCTGCTGAGGTTTACGAGGAAAGCCACACAGGCTGGAGACAGGAGTCTCCTCTGGTCACCCCACCTTCCTCTCCGGCCTCCCCTCATCCTTCCTTCTGGAACCGCCACCCAAAAGCTTTGTTCCTCTGGTGTCAACTGGGGATGCGCTCTGTGACTCCATAGCATCCATCTCCACCTCTGCTCCCTCCTGCTCAACAGGGCCTCGGAATGGTTTCTGAGGTGTCATACTATGTCACTCTATCGCGGTAAACATCACACCTTTTTCTGGTCCATAAAGAATGGAAGGGCCCATCGTGCCCTTGTAAACCATGATGCTGGCTGCGCATGTGGCCTCAGAGCATGCAGATGAACCTGGGGTGAGGGGAGGATGCTCTCTGGGCCACAGGGTCAGGGTGCAGGCGGAGGGACACTGCTCTCCCTGTCCAGGGGGGCAGGGGGCCCCCTCAGCCACTTCCTGGTCACCTGTGTGAATTATGAACATCCTCCACACACAGCTTTGCTTATGCCTGCCTCTGACCTGAAGTACCTGGTCTGACACCTGCCCACCTCCTCACATCCTGTCTGTGGTCAAGGGCCATAGATCCTGTCTGTCTGAGACAGTCCCAGTTTGCTCTGATTGTTGGAGGACAACTTAAAAAAAAACAAAACACTTTTAATTTTATATTGGAGTATAGTTGATAAACAATATGTGTGTTTCAGGTATAGAGCAAAGTGATTCAATTCTACACATACATGTGTCAAATTATTTTCCCATTTAGGATGTTACATAATACTGAGCTGAGTTCTCTGTGCTATACAGTAGGTTCTTGTTGGTTATTCATTTTACATATAACAGTGTGTACACGTCCATCCCAAATTCCCTATCTATCCCTTACTATCAGGACAACTTTTAATAGACCCCCTTCCTCTTATAAAACTAGTTTGGAAAATAAAGCATGCAATCAGTCTGAACTCAGTAAAAGAAAAATAATAAAGGAAGAATAGCAGATATTTAATTATTATTTACTGTTCCAACCTCTTCTTATGAATCATCTCATTTAATCCCCACAGCCACTGGATAGATGCTGTTATATGACGCCAATGCTATGATACCTGCCTATGGGGAAGGAGACGAGCAATTTGTCGAAGTTCAAGTGGAGGGACAAGCCTGGTCCTGACTCTACTACCCACATGACCCTGGGCATGTCATGCGACACCTCTGAGCTTATGTTCTTCACATGGAGAAAAGAATAGTGAGGATCTTTGTAGGATGCTGAGCTGGCCCCCCAGAGAAGGCACTGGCGACCCACTCCAGTACTCCTGTCTGGAGAATCCCAGGGATGGGGGAGCCTGGTGGGCTGCCGTCTATGGGGTCGCACAGACTCGGACACGACTGAAGCGACTTAGCAGCAGCAGCAGAGCTGGCCCCCGAGTGGTCCTGGGAAGCATGTGAGCCTACCGCCTCTGCGGAGGCTACATTTCTCTGGGAACTCCAGCCAGGAAACTGCCCTACTTTGGCAGGACTGGCCCAGGCACCCAGTCCCTCTCCCTCTGGGTACCGCCCCAGCCCATTCTATCCTTGAAGGAAGTGATTCTTTCCTAATCTGTAGTCGCTTGACAACAAGAAAGGGGTGCACCTACCTACCTATGCCATCACCTGGACTGGGGAGGGAGCAGGGAATAAAACGCACTCCATGGTCATCCTGGCAGAAGACAAAGGTCAGGGCTTGGGATGGTCCCAACAGGTCATGAAACCAGAAAAGCCAGGCTGAGGAACGCCACCCACGACCAGGCCCTCCAGACCACAGACACCCTGTGTGCACGTTCACACGGGATGTGAGCCATCCCCCTGCTCTTGGTCCATTTCCTGCGCACCTACTGGGTGCCGGCCCATGGGCTCAGCACACATCCTGTCTCTGCTCTGCCCTGCTTTCCCAGCCTTGCTCACTCCTGGGCAGCCGGAGTGGGACAATCATAGAGACACACATTTCAGACACTGACTTCAACACGCTTCCAGCCTTAAAGCACTGAGTCAATAGCCACCTCCCCGAGGAAGGGGCAGTCCCGAAGGCTCCATGTTGTTTTCCATCTTCTGCCTTCATCTCAGGTCACACGCTGCATCTGGTGCTGAACACTGGGTGGGAGACAGTAGCACCAGGATGAGCATCTAACCGGGCCTGTCTCTGGGGCAGCTAGGAGCCAAAACGGACCAAGAGAAGCATGCTCCAGCCTCTTCCTTGAGGGCATGACAGGTGTTAGGAACATTGACTGGTCAGGCAGCATCCCTCAGCTTGGCTTTTCTGGTTACGTGACCTGTTGGCACCATCTGAGCTCCGACCTTTGTCTCCTGCCAATGTGACCATGGAGAGGACTGTGTTCCCTGCTCCCTCCCCAGTCTGAGTGATGGCGTGAGTGGAGACCATGCAAGGAGGCACCCCTTTCTCCCCGTCAAGTGACTGCAGAATGGGGAAGAATCACTTCCTTCACTTCATTCCCCACCTTCCGCCCAAGCCCAGGGTTTTTAAGTCTTTATTGAATTTATTTATTACACTATTACTTCTGTTTTATGTTTGGCTCTTTTTGGCTGTGAGGCACGTGGGATCTTAGTGCCCCAAACAGAGATCAAATCCCCACCCCACGCACTGGAAGGTGAAGTCGTAACCACTGGCTGTCTGGTAAGTTCTTGCTGAAGTCTGTTCTTTCCTTGGGTACCACTCTGCTGGTGAGGCCTGAATCAGAAGGATGATTCTAGATCTTCATGGCCCAGAGCTCCTCGGTGAGCAAGTTTCTCTGGAGGTCAGGGGCAGCAAAGGTCAGAGGCTAAGGACTGGCTGGTTGGCTCTGGGGTGTAGGTCTTGGTCCTGGGCTGGGGAGAGAGTGGCAGGCCTGGTGGCAGGCAGAGAGAGGCCCAGCTGCTGTGATGTGGGGACAAGCCATACTGTCATCACCTCTATCACCACTTCTGCAGTCAGCAGGCAGCGTTAAGCTGCTGACCTGGCTTTCTCAGAGGTTGGCTTGATCCCCTCCCCCCTCCCCCCCACGCAGATATTTTCCCTGCATTCTGAGTCTGCAGCTTGAGGTACATCACAACAGGGACTCATAAGAACACTTAGCCCAACCCTCCCACTTTCCAGATGAGGCCCACAGAGGCTGGGGGCAACCCTGCTGGAGAGCCCTGGACCCCGGACTGCCAGCTCCGACAAGCACCACTGCTTCTGATTCACAGGCCCAGCCTGTCACCAAGAAGCACATGGCAAATGACTCACCATTAAAAATCACGGAGACACAGTTAAACAGAATGGATGTGTGGACACAGAGGGAGAAGAAGGGGGTGGGAGGAATTGAGTAGCAGTACTGACATAAACATACTACCATGTGTAAAACAGATAGCAAGTAGGAAGCTGCTCTAAAGCACAGGGACCTCAGCTCCATGCTCTGTGATGACCTAGGGGGTGGGGGTGGGGGTCCGGTGGGAGGGAGGCTCCAGAAGGAGGGGACGTATGTATACACACAGCTGATTCACACTGTTGTACAGAGGAGCTAACAACACTGTAAAGCAATTATCCTCCAATTAATTGAAAAAAAAAGAATAAAGAGAATTCAGAAAGGGCTAAACATACAAACAAACCCCTGTTAATCATTTAAACAAGCAGCTGTGGGCTCCCCATGGGGCTGTGTAGGTCCTAGAGTCAGGCACACCTTCCCTGCGTTAAATTCCACCTTGCAGCAGCTTACTTCTCTGGCTCTCCATCTTCTCATCTGAAAAATGGGGAAACCTCTTTGAGATCATTCATGGGTTTTATAGCCTATGTGTTCCTGGCCCAGAGCACTATTGAATAAATATACAAAATTGTATTCATTACCTACACATTAAACGTAAGTATTAATCTTTAAAATACCATGAAGCCATTGGATTTTAACCTCCATCTTTTCCCTAGCATGGTACCTGGGCCCCGAGCTGAATCAGAACACTTCTTTCTAAATTGCTGAGTGTTTAGTTTCAGTCCAGTTCAGTTTAGTCGCTCAGTCGTGTCCGACTCTTTGCAAGAGTGTTTACTTTAGGGTTTCCCAAAAATGCCTCTCCTCCTCCTGTGCCCCCACGTCAGGCTCTGGGCACGAAGCTTGCCAGGTTGTTAGCAGCTTCTGTCATAGCCACTGGCCAGCCCATGTGGTTGGACCTATTTAAAGAGCTGGGCTGGGAGCCCAGGCCAGAGCACATGCAGCCTTGGACCTCACTGATCTCTGCCTGTTCGTGGAGCCCAAGAGCCTCAGATGCTCAGGTCCTGCCAGGACAGGGCTCTGCCCACCTGGGGCTGAGTCCCCTCTGTGGCCAGCATGAAGGCTAAGCTGCAGGCTGCCTGAGTGGGGCCCACAGAGCGATGAATGCCCTTCACTACAAAATGCCCCCCACCCAGGATTCCTAAGCCACCACACCCTCTTTTTAAAACACCTCTACAGATAATAACATATAATAAACTGCACATATGCAACATGGACCATTTGATATAACCTGACATACATAAACATCCGTCACCCCAAAACTTTGCACTTCCCCCTTGAAAGCCGCACTCCTGCCCCTCCTCCCATCTCCCAGGCAACCACTGATCTTTCTGTCTCTACAGATCAGGTTTCATTTTCTAGAGTTTCATGTGAATGGAACCATACAGGATACACTTTTTTTCTTTCTGGACTCTGGCACTCAGCATAATGAGTTTGAGATGTACCACGTGACTGCACATCTCAATAGTTTGTTGCTTTATTGCCGAGTGGAATTCCACCGTAGGTTATGTTGGTTTGTTTATTCATTCCTCTGTTGATAGACTTTTGGGCTGCTTCCAGTATTTGGCTATTACAAAGAAAGCTGCTAGGACCATTTGTGTACAAATCTTTGTGTGGATATATATTTCCCAGGTGAATAAAGACCTAGGAGTGGAATGACTGGATTTCCTATCTCATCCCACTGCAAAAAATTTCCATGTGCCCCATAGTACTGATAAGCCTCTAGCACTTATGACTTTGTTTTTCTATGTTCCTTATTTGCTGTTGGCCTTCTCCCTCCCCTGTGTGGCAGATGGTATTTTTGCAAAGATGGACACAATACTACTTCCCATACATGCTTTTTATAGTGCGGAGTCTGGCTGGCCTTGTGGCTGGCCTGTCATCAACAGAATGTGGCGGAAATGACACGAAGTGATGCTGGAGACCGACAAGCCTTATAGCTCGCTCCTTGATTTCCTGGAACCCTTTCGGTAGGATCCTTGAGCCTGTGTAGTAGGTTTGACTGCCTTGAGGAGGGGCCACAAATGGGTGTTTGGGTTGTCAGTCTCACCAAGGCCCCAGACATGTGAATGAAGCTGGCTTGGACATTCCAGGGGAAAAGCCCACCACAGCAAGACCCCACCCACCCAACCCCATCCACCACGTGGAATTGAAAAATCCCCCAGCCAAAGAACTGCCCAGCTGCCAAGTTCCTGCCACATAAAATCACAGGATGTAAGAAAAACGCAGGTTGTTTTGAGACAGTAGGATTTGGGGGCTGTTTGTTACACAGCAGATCCACGAAAAATGGACCTTCTATCTTGCTCACAGATATACCCCAAAGGGCCAGAACAAAGCCTGGCAAATAGCAGAACCTCACTGTTTGCTGAATGAATAAGTGAGTGGGGTTCTAGGTAAGATTTTATCAACACTGGAGAGATTTCTACCGATCAGAATTAAAAGCAGGACAGGATCTGTGGCAGGTAGGAGACTTCAAGCTCAAACCCTGAGATCTGCATGCTGTAAAACCCGTAGGAACCTCAGTTTACCCAACTGTAAAGTCAGGCTAACTCCACCTACATGTGGGCAGGATCTGAGGAGGAAGTGAAGGTGGGGTGTGGAGGGCTCGGCTAGCCCAGGAGGCCCCTGAGAACGCTTGCTGGGTCTGACTGAACCTGTGCCACCTCTGTCCCCCCTTACCCCATGTTCCACTGAAGGCCCCCAAAGGCCTTGCTCTTTTCCAGTCTGACCATCATCAGGGGCATCTCCCAGGAAGGAAGCTCACCCCCAGATTCCTGTCTGAGGCCAGGACAGCATCCCCTGGGGACCCAACCAGGACTGAAGAGAATCACAGCTGAGGCCCCCGTCAAACTTGATGCCGTGTTCATGGCCACCTTGGGCTGGTGCCCACCAGCCCCCAGAAGGGGGGCCAGCTCTGAACACCCTCCCCCCACCTCTGCCCTGGCCTGGCTCATGCCAAAGCTCTTCTCCCAGGACACAGGCCACTGTGACCCTCTCACTCTCTGCCACAGATTCAGGACCCTGTCCTGTCCATCACGACAAGATGGGCTCACACAGTGATGGAGGCCATGGCTTCAAATAGGTTTGAACAGGGTCTTGGGCAATGTCTTCTGAGAGGCAGCTCGAGAGCCTGGTTTTTCTCACACTGAGCTCTTCTCTCCTCCTCTTAGCTGATCAGTCTCTGGCCTTCCTGGGAAGGGAGTGGGGATTAACTAAAGCAGTGGCTCAAGGTCTGCAGCCCATGCTCACACCTTAAATGTGGTGACCGAGGCCACTGGCATGTCCTGGGGCTGAAGTGTGTTCACTGAGCCACGCAGGGAGAGGAGGTCGGGAAGACAAGCTCTTGGCTTGTGTGTCCCAGGGACCAGCCTTGACACCTCCACTCCCTGGGACAAACTCCAGGGCAAAAGCTAGGAATGAATCCACAAATCCTGGTGCCTCAAGGGGCCCCGGAGTGACACTCAAGAGTACTGTGCTTCCAAACCCAGTTCTGGCCCTCTGTCTTCTTTCTTCCCAATTTCGCTCCCTTCCTCTCTTCTGCTATGACCACCCCTAAGACCTCAGAATCAAGAGAATCTGCTAAGAACAGAAACCAGGGTCACTGAGGATCAAGTCTAACAGCCAGGAAACTAGAAAAATCCGAGCCTCTCTCATCCCCATTTTGTTAATGGGGAAACTGAGGCTAATAAACACTACTTATCTTCTAACAAGGGTTGTTGGGAGGGTCAATGTGTTCATGCAGCAAAAATAAGTCCAAGTGCTAAATAAATGTTAGCTGATAGCGAGTGAAGTAAGTCAGAAAGAAAAAAATATCATATATTCACACATATATATGGAATCTAGAAAAATAGTATGTGCATGCTACGTTGCTTCAGGCATGTCTAATTCTTTACGACCTCATGGACTGTAGCCTGCCAGGCTCCTCTGTCTATGGGATTCTCCAGGCAAGAATACTGAAGAGGGCTGCAACGCCTTCCTCTAGGTGAAGATCTTCCTGACCGAGGGACTGAACCTGCGTGTCCCGTAGCTGCTACACTGCAGGCAGATTCTTTCTCTGAGCCACCAGGGAAATGTTATAGATGATCTTATTTACCAACAGAAATAGAGATACAAATGTATGGACAGGAAACTGGGCAGAGGTGGGTGGGATGAACTGGAAGGTTGGGATTGACATATATACATGATTGCTACTGTGTATAAACAGGGAACTAATGGAATCTGTGGTGACCTAAACAGGAAGGAAATTGAAATAAGAGGGGATATATGTATACACATAGCGGATTCACTTTGCTATACAGTAGAAACTGAACACAACATTGTAAAGCAACTGTACTCCAATAAAAGTTAACAACAAAAAAAAAAGCTAGCTGAGGTGGTTATTGCTCAAAAGGGATTTATTATGTGTTCACACCTCAGTCATCCCAGCTACAAAATGGGTGTATGAGGTATTTTTTCCTAAATAGGGAACAGCAATTGGGCTCTGATACTTGCTTCCTAAACAGATATGTGGAGGGTAAGTCCTGGAGGGTGTTTGTGTATTTGCAAACTAACCAGTCTTGCTACTTTTCTCAGGATAAATGGAAGACTGCCACAATCAGAACATTAATACATAATGTAATCTACTGAGAACTGGACTCAAAGCATTGAAGGAGACCCAGAAAGGGTAATTGCTTGGGGGGACACAGGAGCAGACTCTGGTCTAGGGACGCAGAAAGGGTGATAAAGGGTATGTGGAGGGAGGGACAGGAGTGGCTGCCTTTCCAATTCATAGAGTCAAGGACCCAGGGGGAAATCTCCAGACAGGGCGAGGAGAGAGGACACAGGTCACTCAGATGTAAAAACCTATAAAAAGCAAAGAAGCCCAAAGGGACAAGGTTGATGTCATGTGGTCACCAGAACCCTGGATTCTAAGCAAATTCTGGATATGGTTCTAGTTAAAATTTTCTCTGTGAAAGACAATTATCACATAATATCACTTATATGTGGAATCTAAAAAAATGATACACATGAATTTATTTACAAAATAGAAACAGACTCACAGACATTAGTAACAAACTTAGAGTTACCAAAGGGCAAATGTGCAGGGAGGCATAAATCTGGAGTTTGGCATTACCATACTCATATATAAAACAGATAGCCAGCAAGGACCTACTGACTAGCATAGGGAATAAGCATAGCATATTCTGCTTCTGCTGCTGCTGCTGCTAAGTCACTTCAGTCATGTCCAACTCTGTGTGACTCAATATCCTACAATTACCTAAATGGGAAACAAATCTGAAAAGAATAGATACATGGATATGTGTACCTAAAACGCTTATTTGTACACCTGAAACTAACAACACTGTAAATCAGCTTTAATATAAAATAAAAACTAAATTAAAAAATAAATAAAACAAAAAGCTCTCTGTTGTGGATCCATAGTCATGGCCACCAACAAACTCCTCTTCTTGGGAACCAGAGCCTGAGAGCCTCTGCCCACATGATGCTGGGCATGGTCATGTGACTTGCTCTGGCCAATGAGACCTCAGCAAACAAGAGGCAGGAGGTGGCTTGAAAAGCACTCTTGCAATGCACTATAGCATCTAAGGTGCTGGTGATGGGTGAACTGGTCATACAGGGACTCTGCAACTTTTCTGGAAATCTCAAACTACTCCAAAGAAACATATTTAAAAAAAACATGTGCATCACAGAATGTGCTCTTTTTTGGGAATCTAGCTGCCATGTGAAGCAGCTAAACTTCCAGAGACACAAAGCCTAGACAGAGCTGCGACAGACAGCAAAGATTCTGGACACTTCTTTGACCTGACCCCAGATTATTTTCACTTGGATCAAATCTGGAGTCTAAGATGCTTTCAAGGGGGATCTGTTAACTGTTAAAAACAGTCACTAGCATATTTGGAAGATATTCTGTCAGTAGAGTTAAAACTCTCTGGAAGCTTCTACCAAATTCTAAGATGTACCACCTAAGCATCTTTGACATCAGGGCTGTGGAACAGAAGGGCCGGCTCCAGGGGCGGGGCAGGGGGCTGCAGCAGCTGCCAGAGCATCAGGCTAGATGGCCCGAGAAAACAGTGGGAGCTTCTGTGTATGACTTACTTATCAAAGGGGAGCATATAAATTCAACCCAGGGCAACAGACTGCCCAGAAGATGAACAAATCCTTTGATGCAAGGAATGAGACAAAGAATGGAGTGCGGATGTGGGAAGGGAAATAGGAAACATTAAGTTGCTTTTCAAACCCACACAGCGTTGGAGACAAGGATGTGTGTGTAAAAAAAGCAGGTGGGCAGAACCATTGCAGGAGTGATGACACATTATTCTATTCAACAGCCACTCGGGCCACCTACCGCCCCACTGTCTGCAGGTCTAGTTACTCTCACAAAGGCAGCCAAGACGTGGCCACACCTGCTAGGAACAAAAAGGACACTGGTGTCCCCTGCTGCTCAAGGCCTAGGACATTCTCTGCATCCCAGATCTCCTCAAAGCAGAATATCTGCGGCATAGATTCTTACCTGTCAGCCTGTTATGGTCATTAAAAAACATACTATTCAATGAATGTGCATTGAGTATGTTGTGGGTTTCTGGCGTGTCATTGGGTTCTGGGCAGGGCCTGGGTCTGATCCGCCTCCAAACAGTCTGAGCCACAGGCACAGGTTCTATTGTGGGGAAGCTTTCAGGAAACATTTGTTGAATGAGCAGATTAAATAATAAGGCTCAGTTCCTTCCAGGAGCCCAGTGTAGGACAGGTGACTCATTGTGAGGCAGGGACAAGGCCCTGCCAGGGCTTACTCCTCACGCTGAAGAGAGGAAACCTGGGCATCGTTTCTCCTTTGCCGCGCTCACCAATCATCGGCTTTGTTCAGATAATAAGGCTACATCTGTGCTGGGAGCTGTGCCTGGAGGAGCCTGGCAAGTGGCAAGCCCGACAGGAAACAGACACCCCGCACTGTGTGCTGAGTCCTAGGGGGGGTCAGTGTCTAGGGCTGTGAAGTACAGGCAGGAGGGGCCCTTACTAGCCTCTTCTTCCTGTTGCAGTAAATTACTACAGATTTGGTATCTTAGAGCTCTAGACATCAGAAGTCTGAAGTGGGTCTTGAGAGGCTAACATCA